TACTTGATATTAATTTAATACCAATATACATCTTAGCTGCTTCTACGTATCTATCATAATGTTGATCTACCTGCGGAGTTGATTTATTCGAAGGAATTTTAATTTAAATAACATTACACCTTCGGGCCATTTCTAAAATTTGTTTTAAATAATAATTGCTAAATTAATAAAATGTGAAATAAAAGAAAATATCGCCATTTTTTTACATTATTACAAATCTGACTTAAAAGTTATTTTATGAGAACATTTAAAAGATCAATCGCTCTTAGTTAAATCCACTGTAAGACTTAATATTCTTATTTAAGGATAGTTAAGTACGTTTTAAGACAATTGTTCTTAAATAAACACTAGCCTAAACAATTGTCGCCGGCCATTTTTCATAATGTTTAGGGTTCCTTAGTAAAAAAGAACCAAAAATCACAATGTTTACTTAATAACGTTAATATCACAACATATGTATTATTATTATTGATTATGTAGTTAAGTATCTCTACGAAACAACTCTCAAAGTTTTTTTCTTCCTATTTTGCTTGGAATTTTAGTAGTATATTATTTCGTTTTATCGTATGATGAATTTTAAATTTAATAAATATTTTTTTTTACTTTATTATAATAACTCTACTTAACGTCGCTTCTAAGTTAGATGGCTTTTTATCTCCCACATATATACCTAAAAATGAAGTGGATTTTCATTGATTGCAAAAAAAATATATTATATTTATAAATAAACATTTATGCATATAACAAACCACGGAGTAAAATTATAAAGGTGAGGTCGTTAATATACTTAATAAAGCATGCTTATGACGTTTGTGAGTTCAAGTGTTCCTATAAGCATCTTCCTACATGCCGGTCTCTTTAAAACGCACTGCCTAAGACAAATTACACTTACAATTTTTAGGTTATTCAACAGTTGTATATCATGCTTTAGTAACAGCAGTGCTCTTATATTACATTCACCCAAGGCAGTTATAAGAGCAAACAATCTTATAAATTGCTGTACTGAGTGTAAAAAATCAACAAGAGTGATTAGTCTTACAAAGTGTATTTATATAACTTTTGTTCTTATATGTACATACTTTACAAGGAGTTCTTACATATATCTGTAAACCGTTCAGTATAAGTTTTTATGTTCTTATAGTTCAAAACGTTTTTATACATGCCTTTATAAGAGGTCCGTTCTTAATTAGGACACTTATAAACCTTTTGTTCTTATATATTACTTTGGCCAAGACTAATTTGCTACTTGGGATGTAATTAAAATACTTTAATTGATTGTTACATCACTAAAGCATTAAACGTTAAAAACTCGACATGGCTCAACTAAATCAAAGATCAATTCTGACACCCAATTTCTATCTCAATAACTATACTTTTTTTATTAAAAATGGGGTTACTCATGACCTTCATCTTAGCTCGGAGGCATAGATAAGGTCTATGATCTAGCGAGTTTGCCCAGGAGAAGCCTGTTAAAGCTACTTATAGTATATATTATACCTAATTTGTAAAAATTAGAACTTAATATATAAGAATTAGAAATGTGTAGAACTGGTCGTTGGTTACAAAGAGTTTCGAGTGGCAGCCACGTACAGTCCTCGCGCCTTAAGCTCAGCTTTGCATTTGTGTGAGTGTACACCACAGACATTACAACCAATATATTGTCTGTGGTGTACACACATAGTGTACGGAGAGGTACGGCTTGTGGCTTAGCGCGTCCCGCGCATTGTTTAAACCCGTTTATACTGGTTTTTGAAGCGCGGCCTGAGCCGCGGCGCGACCCACGTGTCATCTCCCTGGTCCCTGCTCTGTACTTTCCGCATTTCACCTCTTGTACCATTTGCAGCTTGACGTATAATATTATTTTGTTATTGTGTTTGAATTATCATATTATTATATTAATATTATCATTAGTGAAATGGCTTCTACTGTAACTAAATTGACTACACGAAAATCATTAGGCAGCCAAACGAAAGAAATTTTGTGCAAATTTTATTTTATTTTTATTTTATTTATTTAGGTACAGAAATACTAAACAAATTAAAAAAATTACATCTTCGTATTAAAAACTAAAAATATCATATTAAATTTGTTGTCCAATTATATCTATACACAACATTCAAATAAAAACATATAATAAGTGAGTCTGTGCATTTAAAGTAACGAGTACATAAGAAATATTAAAAAACAAAAAGAAAATAATTATTACATTTCATGTGGAAAAAAAAGACAAAGAAAAGAAAAAAAGATAAAGGAGAAGAAACAGAGAGAAAACATATCCTTATTATCGAAAATGTGTAGTAAGAACTATAATTTATTTAATTTTTTCTTGAACGATAATAAACTATTATTAAAAATGTCGTATTCATCATTTAAACTATTGTATGTTTTACACATTCTGTGTGGTGGGGAAGGTTCGCTGGCGGAGGTGTTCCAGATGAATTGAAAAGTTTATTTATTTTGTATCTTTTAATTACATATTTTAAATTACTAAAGTCTATAAGGGTAATGTATGACATATATATTGACAAGTCGCTATAGCAACGGTTACAGTTAAAAAATAAGATGCGGGTGATGTGAGGCGGTATGTCCACATCTGCTTTAAGGGCGAACACTGTGTAAAGGGTTGTTTTGGGAAACGTTATTAGTTGCCGAAGGTATATTAAAAAGTTGTGGCTGACGAATCGAGTGAGTATGAATTTTAAATTCCAGTTTTTCTAGTAATGTACTGTTGAAATCACCATTGGCTATTTTATGGAGGATACATAAATCTGATATAACACGCCGATCTTCCAGGCTTTTTAGTTTGTATTTATGAAGTCTGTCAGTGTAAGTTAGTAATTCACGCCTGAGACCTTGCCGCATGCTTAATAATTTTAGAAATTTACGTTGTATAGCTTCGATTCTGTTAATATAAATAACATATATTGGTTTCCATACGAAAGAGCAGTATTCAAGTATGCTTCTTACTATAGTGACATACAAAACTATCCGCGAGATTGAATTTTTGAAAGGTTGGGCAGTTCGGATGATAAAACCGAGTGATCTATTTACTTTACTTGTAATGTAATCGATATGAGGCCTAAAAGATAAGGTTGAATCAAATATAACACCTAGGTCCCGTACTACTTTGACTCTAGAAATAACGGTACCTGCTATATTGTAGTCGAACGATATTGGAACTTTATTTTTTGTAAATGAAATGATATAACATTTATTTTTATTAAGCTGCATCAAATTTTCATCACACCATATTCGGATAGAGTCGAGATCATGCTGAAGAATTTTATAATCTTCTCTTTTAGTGATTTGGAAAAAGATTTTTATATCATTAGCAGATGCGAGGCATTCACTATCTATCAAAGACAGTAGGTCATTGATAAATATCAAAAATAACAAAGGGCCTAAAATAGATCCTTGTGGTATACCAGAGGTGGCTAGAAATGGAAATGATTCATACCCATATAGAGCTACTAACTGAGAAGGGTTATCCAGATAAGAGCATAGCCAACGATAAAGATTACCATGTATGCCCAGGTGGCTAGCCTTAGATAATAGTATTGTGTGATTTACTCGATCAAACGCCTTGGAGAAATCAAGATATATCTACTTGAGTCTTTGTATCAAATGATTCACTTTAAAAAGTGGTATAAACTAATAAATTGGAAGTTGTGGACCAACCAGGTACGAAACCATGTTGTTTAATGTTAACATGTGGTTTTATATGACTGTACAGTTGTTAATAGATCATAGTTTCAAAAATTTTAGCAAAGCAGTTTAAGATAGAAATTGGTCGATAATTTCGACATCACTCTTATCGCCTGATTTATAAATAGGGGTGATTTTAGCAATTTCCATAAAGATGGAAATATATCATTTAAAACTGATTTATTATAAATGATTGTTAATGGTTTTGATAATGCAGAAGAACAATTTTGGTGTATAATTAATAGATGATACATTTCCATAAACAGTTGAAAAATATTCAGCAAAAAGATTAGTAATATCAATACCAGATTCAGCTACTCTATTATTAAAATGCAGCTGTTTAGGGATATTATTAGTTACTCTCTTATTTTTAGTGTAACGATAAAAAGTTTTTAATTAAATTATTTTCTATATTTGATATATAAGACTTAAAACATATTTCAGTTTGTTTTTTAACTCTTGTTCTTAGGAGAGCAAAAGTATCATAGTCGCTTGGATTATTGTAAATTTTGAAACGTGTATGATATTTATCCTTGCTTTTGATAAGTTTAATTAAGCTTTTTGAAAACCAAAAAGGTTATCTATTATTGTGTTGCTTAGATTTTGGTGTGTACTTTTCTATTATTGTATACAAAATATTATAAAAAAATTGTACATATTCATCGCAACTAATTATATTAGCGTGTCTTTTCCAATCTATTTGTTTTAATTCTTTAATACAGTTAATATAATTGGTTTTATAAAAACACAATTTGGTAATTGGAGTATTTTCAAGAAGATAGGTGATCTTGCCATAATTAAATATAATTTCAAATGGATGATGACAATCGAGGCGGCTTATAGGCATAGCTTTAACTAAATTAAATTTGTCTGGTTGATCAGTCAATACAAGATCAAGAATTTTGTTGTTAAGATTTGTAAGTGAATTAAGTTGTTTCAATGCTGTTAAATTAATGAGATCAAATAGAGCTTTAGATTTTTCACATTCAATTGAACGAAATGTTAACGCTAACACTCAGTGTGCCGATAAATGTCAAAACCAGATAAATGTAAACAGTTTCAATTTACACATTTTAATTTAAGATCAAACAATTAATTTAAATATCAAAAAATAACAACTGTTTCTTCACAGTTTTAAGTTTTCACTCTGTCGGCAGTCCTCATGACTGCTTTTTTTAATGATTAAAATGTCAGCATTTCCTTCTGATAAATTAAATATTGATTTTATTTTTATGTGATTTTTCTGACTAACCTTATTTTTGGCTATCACTCACACAAATGCAAAGCTGATCTTACGCCTCGAAAACTACCGGAATACGAAGCGTAGGCCTCCCACAAGGTGGACCGGCACTGGAACCCGTTATATACGGATGGTCTAAGACCAGCGATCGTGGAAATCTTTGGGGAAGGCCTTTGTCGTATTGCATTTGTCGTATATAACGTTGGTAGTTTTTCGGCTGAGACGATTGTGTAAGAAGGCATCATTATTAATTTTGTGTAATTATGAAATGATTAACGTGTTATAATACTTACAACCGCTAAAGGACATTTAATTCCATAGGCGGCGATGCTCGCACCAAGATTTGCATTATTCAACAGATCGCAATATTTGTAGTGTAGTCCTATGAACGAGCGCCGGTACTCGTTGTGAAGGTATTCATTGATGATTAAATTTATCTAAAACATGATTTTATGGAAGAAATATATGTTTATGACTTATACTAGATTTCTTTAGTCTATATTTATTTCATTTTTTGATATTTTGTAAATAAGGAGCAATGTATTCGTGTAATCCGAGATTTAATGTTGAGGTTTAATTTTACCTACTTGTACTTACATACGATTTTTTTTTAATAAATGCAATTAATTATTTATATTGTTAAACTGCCTATAGCTGCGTAGTTTAGCAATTTTTGTTTCGAAAACTTGGTGCATTTTTTTGAGGTCTGTAGAACCGATGGAAGTGCAAGTCAAATTGAATTTTTGGGGTAAGACTTAAAAGAGAATGAATTCATATTGCGCCTTTTCCATTCAACGTGATATTGGCAAAGTATCTGTGTTCAACTGGCACAACAAGAAAGTTGAATTTAATTAAATTCTTAATGCTACTACTGACTACAGTCTATAATATCAGATGGATGCATTTTCGTAATTGGACCCAGTTATGCAAAAAAACAACCATGTGCGTAAAAGTACCAACAGAGTTATAAGCATTTTATTATAAAAAATAAAATAATTATAAAAAATAAAAAATGCTTATATAAATATTGTTGAATTTTAAAATAACCAGAAAAACAAAACATAACCCAACCCAAGTGCAACTATCGACAGAAAAATGCTTATAACTCGGTTAGTACTTTTACGCACATGGCTGTTTTTTGCAAAACGGGGTCCAATTATATTTCCATCTAATTTCCCAAGACCTACCGTAACATTGTTGTTCCACTCCTTTTTAAGGGTAGACTCCACATTAATGTAATGCGGGCTGGTGCGACTGTAGCGTTTGACGACACAGGAATAGTTGTACAAGTATTTTTCATTCATATACACAATTCTCACGCGCACCGGAATCACATGGACACCCTGGAACATCATACTCTCTTAGATTTACGCGAATATTTGACATGTATACAAATTATAAAATTCTGAGTCGAACATTAAATATTTTTTTGAAAATCATATTGAAATAATCTATAGTTTTTAGAATTTTTGTCAGTCTGTTTGTCTGTGTCTCTGTCTGGGAATGCATGACGAGAAAATTACTAGACAGATTTTGATAAAATTTGTGGATCAACATATTATAGGATACTTTTTACTGTGGGAAAATATCTCATCTCTGAGAAATCTATAGGTACTAAACCTTAAAATATACTTAGTGTTGTAGTAGGAGTACCTAGGTTTAAATAAAACTATCTTTTCGGATTTTTTGTGGAGTTATTTTGATTTTTGGTTCCCAAAATTTCGAATGCAATCAAAACAGCAATCATGGTCATGGGAATGACTCTCCCGTGACCAAGTTTACCCTTTTTTTAATGTTGGGAAATGCATTTACGCATATCACCTGTAGACATACAGGTAGTTATGTGGGACTCACCGGCCAGAAAAGCCAGTACTACCCGCTGAAACCGAACAAAACATTCCCCCGTCTTAATGGGGCGTCGCAGGATCGCTTACGCACTCAACTACTACGATCCGACGGCAGGTCTGCCGAAGCAGACCATTACAACCATGAGGTTGCTCCAAGGTCCACTCTGCTATCAAAGGCGTACCAGGAGTAACCCGCATGGTACACCGCCCACTGAAGTGGGCCATCTCCCTGTGCGTTTCTTGGCTTCGCGCCCGGCTGAAATGCGGGACGCTAATGAGAAATAATTAAATATTTATTTGATTCCTGGCTATACTACATAGTTATACTTACGCATAGAACTGGAATAGTTATAACAACTGCAGTAAATATAATAACTGTATATAATGTAGAATATTGCAAAAGGGCCATTACGTAAATTTATTTTTGTATAGGTACTTTTTAGCCAAATACAGTACTTATTTCTTAAAACATACTATTCGCTATGCATACTTAATAACTTTATTACCATAGACATTTGCCTAAATAATTCCCATTATTAAAAGTCATTTAAAAAGTAATGCTTTTTTAATGAATAGAATAACAGCAGAATGGAATGAGTACGAATAAATTGCAGAGTTCAAGCGATCGAAATTATGATCAATTATAATTAAATTACAGTTAAATATCATATATAGTTTGCAAGCTAGTGTTAGGCTACGGTTTTAGTAGGTTTATTTTGGTAGCACTATAGTTTTAAGGTACCATTATTTATGCTATGCCAATGTTAACGTCATAATAGAAATCAAACCTAAGGTATGGAATAGTTATTTGGTTTTTCTGTAGTGAAATAACGTAATGTATGTATGTACTTATCCTATATATTTAAACGAGCAATTCTTGTATATATATAATCTGAATCTCGGACACGGCTCCAACGATTTTCATGAAATTTAGTACACAGAGGGTTTCGGAGGCGATAAATTGATCTAGATTAGTCTTGTCTGAGAAAATGTCGTGTTTTCGAGTTTTCATGCAGGTTTCTTTTGTCTACACATACACACTAAATCTGGTCGGTAATTCGCACACTCAGGCATAAGCATCGTGGTCAAGCAGCCAAGGTGCAAAATCAACAATCACAGATATCCAGGTTTGAATCTCGGTCGCATACAAAGTTTTTACTTTTTTTTAATATTTATTCAAGTTTTTAGTTTTTCTTTTAAAATAAGACAATTGTACTTTAGACCAAAAACTCCGAACGAAGCTCGGTAGCCCAGGTACTGAATAATAATATATAATTGGACATTAACACACAACACCATCTAGTTCGATGGTAAGCGGCGACGAGGCTTGTGTTACGGATACCAGATAGTTGATACTCTACACATATATAACTTTAAATACTTACATATTATAAATATAAACACCCACGACTGGAGTACAAACATTTGATCTCATCACACAAATTAATGCCCCCAGCGGGACTCGAATCCACGACTGCTAGCACAGCAAGTAGGGTCACTAAAAACTGAGCCGAACGTGTCGTCAGTAAATACCTACCTACTCAGTAAGAACCTGGAGTTGCCCCCCTAGCGGTGCTCGGAGCTAAAGCCGATATATTGAATTTTTATATTTTTTATATACTTGCTGGTTATTATTACCTATTAATCTTATCCAAAATATACCTATTTTTATTTAAATCGATCGGATAGAATAAATTCTATAAAGACATCACCATGCGTGATTCGTGAATTACACCTATACCATAGAAAAGCGCTAGAACGGCGATTTCGGTTATTCCGCGCCCTATCCCAGCGACCCCACCCAAATCTGGCGCAAAGTTCAACAATATTTTTATTAAAAAAACTTTTTGTGGGACTAAAATATCTATTACTTTTTTTTCTCAAAGAAATGGTATTTTTGACTTGCCTTTCTTTTGTTTCTAAACGGCTAAGAATTTTGGTAACATTTAAATACTAAAAAATAAAATATCTGTTTTACTTTATGCCCACCAATAATTTTGTAAATCAATTACTATTTTCCTATATTAAAAACGAAAATGCTATTTACGAACCTCGAAACTATAGAGGTGCTCTGCGCGGGCGCGGGCGGCAGTCGCGCGCTGGCGCTAAGACGGGAAGGCTGTGTCACTTTTTTTATCTATCCGCGCTAGCAATCGACAACTTATTTTACATTGTATTTACTCAAGGTTTACGTACCTTAACAGCTTGAGCGTAGCAAGATTGAGTCCTAATATTTAGTAATTAAACTAATATTAGTTTATTTCTTTACAGCTCCAAAACGTAGTGTCGTGTCTGCGCATTCCAACTTGGCCTGTTTGTAGTATATAGTCGAAACCCAAGAGCAAGGCCAACGCGACGAAAGCCAGCTAAATAGAAAATAATATGTATAAATTAAATAAGAATCAAACCTTTTATTATTATTAAAAATATATGTGAAACATTATCATTATTAAACATTATTAAAGCCTCTGTATCGATAATATTTGTTTCAATAAGATTTTCCAAAAAATATTTAATGTACAGATTTGGCTTAGTTACAATTTTAGGCCCAAGTTTAGTATATGGGACGCGGCCCCTGGCGGAGTGGGTGGTATTTTTGGACAGGGTAGGTGACAGAGAGTCAAATAAAAAAATATATATAAAAAATATTTTGAGGAAACGTAGGAGTAAAAAGTTATTGAGACTTAAAGTTACAACATATCTAATACATTTCCATACATTTCTTTACCTAACAATGTGATTACAAAAGATAAACATACCTTTAACTAATACATAAACATCCTTTTTTATGTACAGTACATATTTCCACAACAATTAAGGCTTTATTGTATTTAATTTTTTAATAATTTCACAACAGTTGTAAGCAAAATGATCGTACATTTTTACAACTGTCAATTTCTGTTTTACATTACCGCTTAAATTACAACAGATTATATTAATTCAATTTATAAACATGAGTAGACTATTATTAAAATTTAAGTATTATTTACTTTTGGTTTTTATTTTGTGACATCGTGGTTAGTTTCAGACTTAGGTTATTTATTTATTATTCGTCATAATATCTTGATTAGGTTATGTTAGAACAGTTACCACAACGCACGAGCCGAGCGAGCGTGCCGCGGCAGCGGCCGGCGAGAAATGTCACGATAAAATTAAAACAAATTAATAATTAAAGTAACGCATATTGGACATGTTTCAATCATGTATTTACAGAATATCATTTAAGGAAAGAATATATTATTATATTTTTTCTATCATTTGTCAGACGGTAACAACGGTTACCATGGCAACAGTTAGTCATAGTAGCATATAGTGCACATTCATTTCACAATGTTACACAAAAATAAATATTCTATTTTATAAGTAATCATTATTATAAAATTATAAATATAATGTTACCAACGATATTTTTAGTTTTTAATATGAATTAATAAAGCGGAAATATACAATAATATATACTACAGTAAAATATCACGATACTATTTATACAAATATTTTGGTATCTCAGTTGATTCTCTCGCCTTAGAATTAATTAATTATTTTATTGAGAATATGGATTTTATTTTGACTCGAAGTTGAATTTATAATGAAAGTCGAAAAACAAGCCATCCGTTGCCTAGATATTGAGTGAGTTAATTATAATGAAAAAAAAAATATGTCTTAAATTATAATTCCAACCTAGAACGTAAATAAAGTGGAGTGCGAGAGTAGTAGATAAGTTTTATATAGTTTGTGACTAAGAGTATGTTATTACGGAGAAGGCGATAATAATAATATTTAAAGTAATTGTAAGGTTTACTTTTTTTTAAGTTTAAAAGTAGTTTTACATTTTCTTTAACATATGTATATTGCATAACATGTTCAGTTTTATTTGTCCCTTTCTGTGTAACGTATTCTATTTCATGTTCTTGCCTTAATCTTGTATATTTATGTGTGTGTCTTTCTCGTATCGCATTTAAGTTTCATCGACTTTCAAATAGCAGTAATGCCAAAAAAAAAACACTTCAAAAAAGAGGGAAAGCAAACTTTAGTAACAACTATGAATATTTTATGAAATGCTTTGCAATTATAGATATCGAATGATTCATTAAACATGTAACTTTTCATTATAAATGGTACAATGTGATAAATAATAAAACATAAAGCTCCTAGCCAGGTTGTATTTAAAGTCGTTTTGGGTCGATAATTAGATATTATTAGTATTGAATAAATAGTTATGGGTGAGTATTTTTATAATAATATCTACTTTAAAACTTGTAATAAATGTAAGTATGTAGTTGTGTGTATGTGTATGTAGTACGTATTTCTAATTTATATTGTATGATATTGTAATAGTATGTAAGGCTAATGTAAGTAAGTATATATCCTAATTCTATTATAAAATATACAATTATAAAATTGATTATAAAATTTTTAATAATATAGTAATAAGATATATGTATATAATATTAAGGTATATGTAGTCAATATAATATTAAAGTTCCTTGAAAGAAAGTAGACATACTTTATTCAATTTATTTGTATACATATACAGAAGAATAGAAAAAATAGAAAAAATATTGTAATAAATAAAAAAGTAAATAAAAAAAATAAGGTTCGACAAGATCTCAATGATTGAATTTTTGATTTATTATATGTATGTACATATGTACAATAATAATAATAGTACAACTGCCTCGGTGGTGTAGTGGCTAGAAAGTACGGCACACCCGGAGGTCCTGGGTTCGAGTCCCGGGTTGGGTTTTCTGTATGTTTCTGTAAGCTCCAGTAGCAGACCGGAGTTGAGAGGTGTTTCGCCCCGTGCCTCGGAGAGCACGTAAAGCCGCCGGTCCTGCGCCTTTACTCTCACCGGTCGTGTCGAGTGGTCGTCCCACCAGAGTGTGAGAGTGACAGGAAAAGAAAGTGCGCTTGTGTATGCACGCATATTTGTGCAGTGTAATGTCTCCTGCGCAGTTAACAGATCTCAGTGAGTTTGGCCGCTGTGGCCGGAATCGGTCAGGAGGATATTATTATTAATAATAACAGTAAAGGCAGCATGTAGCATAAAGGTAGCATGGTAAAAAAAAACTGTGAGTAATGTTACGTTTTGGGCAGTACGGGCCTTCATGAAATTGTAAACCGTGCGTAATGTTGTGTTTAGGCAGTACGGGCCTTCATGAAATTGTAAACCGTGCGTAATGTTGTGTTTAGGCAGTACGGGCCTTCATGAAATTGTAAACCGTGCGTAATGTTGTGTTTAGGCAGTACGGGCCTTCAAGAAATTGTAAACCGTGCGTAATGTTGTGTTTAGGTAGTACGGGCCTTCATGAAATTGTAAACCGTGCGTAATGTTGTGTTTAGGCAGTACGGGCCTTCATGAAATTGTAAACCGTGCGTAATGTTGTGTTTAGGCAGTACGGGCCTTCATGAAATTGTAAACCGTGCGTAATGTTGTGTTTAGGCAGTACGGGCCTTCATGAAATTGAAAACCGTGCGTAATGTTGTGCTTAGGCAGTACGGACCTTCATGAAATTGAAAACCGTGCGTAATGTTGTGTTTAGGCAGTACGGGCTTTCATGAAATTGTAAACCGTGCGTAATGTTGTGTTTAGGCAGTACGGGCCTTCATGAAATTGAAAACCGTGCGTAATGTTATGTTTAGGCAGTACGGCCCTTCATGAAATTGAAAACCGTGCGTAATGTTGTGTTTACGCAGTACGAGCCTTCATGAAATTGAAAACCGTGCGTAATATTGTGTTTTAGGCAGTACGGGCATTCGTAAAATTGAAAACCGTGCGTAATATTTATTTAATATTTATGTTTAAGGCAGTAAACATATGTATTAAGGTAAACTATACGTAAATATTTGGTTGCCATGGCTAGATTTTATTATTTTAGGTCACCCCAAACAATCTTGTAAAATGGCAAACTTACTTCCGCCACCCGAGAAGCTTGACCTTGATGGAGACAATGCTACAATTGCTTTACGATGGGAAAGATGGAAAAGATCTCTAAGTATATTCTTAGATGCTACAGGAATTACGGGCTCTGAGAAAAGAAGGGCTACACTACTACTTTTAGGAGGATCGGAGTTACAAGAAATTATATATAACTGACCAGGAGCATATGCTGATAGTTTTGAAGGAGTTGATGTATTTGGTAATGCAATTGAAAAACTGGATGGATACTTCCTTCCGAAGCAGAATAAAATTTATGAGCGACACGTATTTCGTCAAATTAAGCAGGAAGACGATGAAAAATTTGAAAAGTTTGTGGTGAGACTAAGGAATCAGGCAGGGAAGTGTAAATTCACGAGCGTGGAAGAACATTTAATTGATCAGATTGTAGAAAAATGTTCGTCATCAGATCTTAGAAAAAGGATATTGACATTAGGGGATAGTGTCACATTAGATAAAATTATAATTGAAGCTAATACTTTGGAAGCGGTAGGACATCAATTAGAAGGTTATATACATAATAAAAGTACAGGAAGGCGGAGATGTAGTTGTTAGAAATAAGGAAACTGATCAAAAGTTTGACGTACTCGTAATATAAACCATATAAATAAGATAGAAGGTGAATCGAAGATTCAGGATGGAAATAACAAATACAAAGAAATAAATCAAAATGATATGGAGGATAATTAATTTCGGAAATTAAAAAAAAACATCTTATGATTAATTCTTATTTTTCTAGTTGTATTCTGTTGATCTCATTATTAGTTCGTATCAATGTAAAAGAAAACATTAAATAAATAAAATAATTAATATGGAAGGGATGTAGTGTTTGTGTATTTAGTCTGTAATGAGTTGTCTCGGGTGCACGGGTAGGGGATTGACACTTAACAGTTACGTGAGAGCCGAGGCGGTGCGAGCGTACGTGTCAATCCTGCATACTGGTGACCAAACGAGCCAAACAGTGTTTACTTGTATTTTTATGCAAATACTACAACTAGAAAACTAGAAAATTCAAATTTCACGCAAAGAATAATTAAAAACACGACAAAACAATCTGGAGATTATTTTGACAATTGAAAGTGACTTTTGATATTACCAAATGTCTAAATGGCAGTAACGTCTAAATAATGTATGGAAATGTTGTAACTTTAAGTCTCAATAACTTTTGACTCTTTTGTTTCCTCAAAATATTTTTTATATATTTGGACTATCTATCACCTCCCCTATCCAAAAATACCACCCACTCCTCCAGGGGCCGCGTCCGATATACTAAACTGCAGCCCAATTTTATTTTATGTATAGATAACTAAAATCGGTTTCTAATCGTTTTTTAAGTCAATTGATTATTATTTAAATTTCACAAATCGAGAACGACTTGGTTTAATAATTGCCAGTAAACAACACTACGACAGGTAACAATACCAGTATAATATGTTACGTTGTATGAGTCCGGTGATCGGAAATTAAAGCACGTCTTTGGCACTATTGATGTTTTATTGCACTTGGTTAATAAGAGTGACTAGTGGAGATTCACTAACTCGCGCGGTATATAAGTACATAGTTACATACTTTTCACTTTTTCATACTTCTCGGTTTTCACTTAGCTTCAAAATTCAAGTGATCTCACGACATACTGCCGGCCTTTTTATATGCATAAACAAAGAACATTCTAGTATTCAAAAATTCAAAACCTTTCTAGTGATTTCGAATGTTTTTTCTTCTCTCACTCTTACACGCGACAATTTATGATTAACTGTTCTTGTCTGAAATCAAAACTTTTCATGCCTACTCGCTCGCCCTTTAATTAGCAATGACAAGTGATGACGATTTAATTCTACGATGAAATCCAAATACGATCTGTGATTTCATCAAGGTGTGATTTTTAGCAGTCAATGTGAACTAAGTAGCAGGTGCGACGTATGAAAACGCATTTCATATGATTTTTCACTTGCTACTCATGATAAGTTCCATGCCTAATTTAAATGCCTTTCTGTAAATGTTTTGTCAACTGTCTTGGATGCAGAAAGCATGCTTCAGACGTGCCTTTTTAATTATTATTATTATTTTTGATGTAATGACGTTACACACTCCACTACGCGACAATAATATAGTAATAGATAAGTATATCTAATAATTGTAAGGTTGCATTTTTATATATTGAGTGTCTTAATAGAAAATAATATATTTGATTAATTTGGAATGATTTATGTATAAGGCATTTACTTATGTGACTATGACCCCGTCATGCTACCGAAATAAAACTACTAAAACCGTAGCCTAACACTAGCTTGGAAACTATCTGACATTGGACTGTGATTTAATAAGTAATTGATCATAATTTCGATCGCTTGAACTCTGCAATTTATTCGTACTTATTCCATTCTGCTGTTATTCTATTCATTAAAAAAGCATTAAACTTTTGAAATAATTTTTAATAATGGAAATTACTCAAATGCAAATGCAAAGGCAAATGTCGATGGTAAAACAATTATAAAATATACATAACGAATTGCATATTTTACGAAGTCAGTACTGTATTTAGAAAAAAAATAGATAAAAATAAATTTAAGTAATGACCCTTTTGCAATATTCTACATTATATACAATTATATTAACTGCAGTTGTTATAATTATTCCAGTTCTATGCGTAAGTATAACTATGTATATAAGATAGCCAAAGACCAAATACATAATATAAAATATTTAATTATTGAAAATGCATAAACTAAGAAATACTTAAATGGTGTCCTAGAGTTATCATGGTCACAGGAGAGTTTGTCTCGTGACCATGATTGCATGCATTTTTATGATCCACATTGCATGATTAAATATTGCAGAGGACTTAATAAGGTCTACAATTTTAGTACATTGTTTTGATGTATGTATCTCTTAAGGTTTAGCCAGCGTTAGACAAGTTTCCTAAGAACGACTCGATAGAAGCAGTTGTTGTGTTTTCGCGTGGGTATGAAAGATTTTCCTGTAGTAAAAGATATCCTAAATGTTGACATGAATAAATCACTATACAAAATTTATTTAAAATCGATTCAGTACTTTTTGCGTGAAACGCGCACATAGAATTCACTAAGTTACTGTTGAAGTATATGTATAGATGTCAAATATTCGCGTAAATCTAAGAATGCACGATGTTCTAGGGTGTCCAAGTGATTCCGGAACATGTGAAAGTTGTGTATCTGAATGAGAAATACATGTACAACTATTCCTCCTTCGTCAAACGCTACAGTCGCAGGAGCCCGCACTACATCATTGTGGACACTGCTCTTAAATACGAGTGGAACAACAACGTTACGGTGGGTTTCGGGAAATTAGTTGGCACATATTGCCAACTACGACAATGCTCTATCTACCATTATAGAATATAGTAGCATTAAGAATTTATTCTCTCTTAAGTCTTACTCCAAAAATTCATTTTCGAGTTGTCCTTCCACTGAATCTAAATGGCGGCGAATAGAGACCTGTACATGAATGCACCGGTTTTTCGAAACAAAGGCGGTTTTTGTTTAAAAGTATGCACTCATTTTTGCTGAACTACTGCCACAGATCTAATAATACTATACTGGCTACAGCTATGAGCAGTTGAACAATAAAAATAAATAATAGTTTTTGTAAAATAATCGTAGTACCTGAAATTAAACCTCAATAATTGCTCGTAAAATAATACAAATTAAAAATTAAAGTAAATCTTATATATTAAAGAAACCTAGTGTAAGTCAAAAACAGCACATTTATTCCATTAAATCATGTTTTAGACGAATATAGTCTGCAACGAATTCCTTCACAACGAGTACCGCCGTTCGTTCATAGAACTACACTACAAATATTGCGATATGTTGAAATTTGAAAAATATGTTGGTGCCCGCTTCGCCGACTTTGGATTTAAATGCCCTCTTGTGGCTGTAAGTATTCTAAGAAGTTACCATTTCCTAATTACACAAAATTTATTATGACGTTTACAAAACCTTCTACACAATTGCATCAGCCAAAAGACGACCAATGTTATGACATAGGCCTTCCCCAAAGATTTCCACGATTGCTGGTCTTGGACCATCCTTATCTAATGGGTTCTAGTGACTTTGACGAAGTTGTTGGTCCACTTTGTGAGAGGCCTACATTTCGTATTCCGGTACGTGGCTGCCACACGAAACTCTTTGTCCTCGACGACCAATTCTACACATTATTTTCGTTATTTTTTTATTTTTACTTCGTTATTTTTATTTACTTGTTGATATGGAATTTGAGCTTCAGAATTGATCATTAACTTAGTTCAGCCATGTCGAGTCTTTAACGCTTAATGCTTTAGTGATGTAACGATCAATTAAAAGTATATTAATTACTTTTAATTACGTATTCTTTATAAACTAATATTTTCTCATACTTTTTAGGAGAAACGTTACTTCATGAACTTTACAACGCCCATGGATGAGTTTCCCAACGTGTTTCCATACGAGCACGCCCGCATCGACACAGAGTTCACTGTAACAGCAACAGGCGAAAGTATCCTCAAAATATATTTCTATGCTCATTTTAAAAATATGGTGGAAAAGCATTAACTATTAATAAGTTTTAACTAAACTTTTGTTTAACAAAATGTGCTCATGCTGATTTCCTTTACCGTATTAACATAGTCTAGGTACACATTCGTCTAATATTTGTCTAACGAAGGCTTCTAGACAGGACAATTGTGCAGGGAGTACGGGGTGAGACTATCGTACTTACTTTTATAATTATTTAGATGCCCCTTATACGAGGGGGGCCATAGTCCGCAATATTGGTTCTTGATGGACTTCACATGCTTTTCGAAAACTAGTTATGTTCTCTCAAACATGCATATAAAGGTTTCTTTGATGTTTGCTTTCACTGCATTAGCAAGCGATAGTCATGTTAAAAATGATTCGCACATGATAATACCGTAGGTCAGAGACCTAAGATTGAACCCGCTTGGTTATCCAAGGGAAAGACCTGTGGGTAACCAATGCCTATGTGATTTACTTTTATACGGTTGACGAGTACAACCAGTGGCGGATTTGCACATTTGCCGCCAGTAGGCTCAATTTTGCCGCGCCTACCCACTTCTATAAAAGTCAGTTCCTACATTAATTTTACAATCCAACAATTTAGTTAAGATTGCACAAGAAACAGATTTTGGGTATATTTCTGAGCTACTAAAGCTCAATCATGTACCTACTACTAATTAAGTTATGCCTTAATACTACTTACACAATAATGTACATTCGGTGCACATACAGTTAAATATTTTTTGTTATGCTTACGTACAGTTTAAAAGCAACATATTCAATTATCTAATAACAATCCGGCTGATGATGACATATTGAAGAGAGGCCTATGTCCAGTAGTGGGACGTTAAAAAGGGCTGAATACATGATGATGACGATGAAATTTAATGAAGTTATGAAACAATTTTTTTTGTGCGATTTTCTATTCGCAAAATCATCAATTAAATATGTTGTTCATTAGTTCTGACTCTATAATGTACGAATATAATAAAAGAGCGAAGGCGTTTAGTTTTTTTTTTCTTAAGGTAAATCTTAGATAATTTTTCACCCGTTTTAAGCAAGAAAAGGTTTTCTTATCCAATCAATTTGTCACATAGAGCCATGCGCATTGCTTTATCCAAGTTTAGATAAAAAAGTTAGGAAAAATGTAGTCTCACAAACACTTGGAAACACAGAATGACTTCTTTCTTAATAGTAGGATAATATCTATTTAAATTAAATAAAAAATTAAAATTAAACAATCAACAATTATTAAAATTAAATTTAAATTATCATGTATTTAAATATTTGATAGAAAAAGCTTAGTTCAATATTCAAGAAAAAAAAGGGGCAAAAAAACATGATATATTTTAAAACCTTTATTTATAAAAAATCTCACAAATACATCATATATCACAATCTCACAAATACACCATATTATATCAACACATTGATATATCACAAAGTGGGTAACCAACTCGTGCTTACATGTATGTATTATATTGTAATAATTTAAAAGTAATAAAAAATATAGAAAGATAAATTTGTTTTTTTTTTATAATAATTTAGTGTTGTGTATTAATGTCCCAAGTCCAACATATACATTTTTTTTAATAAATTTTATCTGTATACTGTAAAATGATAAATATCTTTCAATGAATAACTGTAGGAAATTTGTATTACATGGAAAATATTATATTAAAAAATTGTACCAACTGCTACAATTTATAAATTAAAAATATTGAATAAATATAAAGACAGAATAATAAATCAATTTCACAATAACTAATAGTGGGTATATCGCGGTAGAAGGTATAATGGGGAAGAATTTTGCCTTTTCCTCCTGCCAGTTATCGCGAACACTATAATAGCCCTCAGTATATTTTAAAGCTCTATAGCGTGGATGGAATTTTCTCATTTTATTTATAATTAAAATAAAATGACAAATTGTGCAGTGCAAGATGCAAAGAAAATGGATATCTTTTTTTTTCCACAAGACAAAAACTGAAGAAATTGTGGGCAGGAGCAATAAGACTACCAAAATTGGCGAAATCACAATCTTTATATTTAAGGCTACGTGAACATCATTTTGAAGAAAGTGATTTTAAAACTCTTAAATCGTCTAAAGTTGATTTTTTTTTTATTTTTGTACTTTTTACATATTCATTACAGAGTTTCATACAATGAAAATGCAAGCTTTCATCTCCTATTTGTCCCCTTATGGGATTAAATTTTTAAAAATGCTAAAACTCGTATTTAATTATATTGAAGAGCATTAATAAAAGAGAGTAAATCTTGTAGTAGGGGAGCCCAAGAGGGGATTTTCTGTAGTTACTCGAGCGCGGCAGGTTAACATAAAAGAGGTTACCTTGCACTCTATTGAGTACTTTCACCATAATATAAGTCTTCTATATAAAGGGGCGCGTCTAGGGAAGCCGATTAAAATATTTAAAAAATGTTTTGATAAGGTAGAAATACTTGAAACCGTCAGATTAAGGTGTGGTAGGCTAGTCACATCCTGAAAAGTGTGCAATTCAATAATCTGCCGATTTGCACAAGCCGAAGAGGCAAAAATCGACTATAAAGTTTATGATGATTTTTGCCTCTTAGGCTTGTGCAAATCGGCAGATTATCAAATTGGACACTTTTCAGGATGTGACTAGCCTACCACAACTTAATCTGACGGTTTTAAGTATTTCTACCTTATCAAAACATTTTTTAAATATTTTAATCGGCTTCCCTAGACGCGCCCCTTTATATAGAAGACTTATATTGTGGTGAAAGTACTCAATAAGTGCAAGGTAACCTCTTTTATGTTAATCTGCCGCGCTCGAGTAACTACAGAAAATCCCCTCTTGGGCTCCCCTACTATTGGCATTGATCGGTTAATACCTCGTCTGTCGATCGACCTTTTAAAGGTCGATGTCAAAAAGACCCCTGTCTGTCAAGCGACCTTTTAAAGGTCGATTGGTCCCGATGTGATTTAATGTGTGATTTCTCGCATTTAAACTACATTTATTTTTATCTAACTTTTGTAACGTGTAAAGAAAAAACAAGAAATAATATCATACTACATATCAAAAAAGTAATAACTCCAATAACATAAATTTTTGTACTTTGTGCAGACAATTTATTTAAATTTTGGCGGTCTTCGAACTCAATACTTGTGAGTAAAAAATTAATAAAATAGTGTAAAATTATTAGTATAAGGATTGGAATATGATGGAAGGGTAAGTAATTAACAGTTTGTATTTCATAGGATGTGTATTGAATAAAGATTTTATACAGAAATTGTTATATTTGTCAAACATCGTAAGCATTGACGCGCGCTAAGTCCTTATATTTTCACTTTTTCTGAATAAAAAATACACTAGCGAAAGCATAATATTTTTATTAACATGATTTAGATTTATAACTAAATAACTACGTATAATTGAATTTGTAAATTTTCTATTGGATTTTAAGTAATTATTAATATAATAACACGTAACCCAAATTCGAGCCGCCATTTTTGACGGCTGTTGGATAGTATGGGGAAGACTTTTTTAATATTCATTAGAATATTCTGATTGATGTTTTTTTAGCATTATTTGAAATTTAGTATTTTATAAAATTATTTTAACTGTTTTCCTACAAAAAAAAATTTGAGTTTTTTTTAAACAGAACGATTTTTATTTTACAGATATAATTTCAACTTACAGATTACTTTGAAACATTATAAAAATAAAAAAACCTAACTGCATAAAAGCTAACTAAAAAGATGAAAACAAGTTGACGAAGGGATAAAGTATTATGCAGTTGGTGACATACATATTATGTACATCTCGCGACAAGAATGAAACGTATTTTTTTTTATTTACAGCTTTTTAATTTTATTAGACATTTGAAGTTATAATAGGTCTTTTGAAATTACCGTTCTACAATACTTACTGGCCATTGAAAACGTAATTTATGAATGGCCGGCAATAAATTCTAAATTCAAATGTATTTTATTTTAAAAGTATCGAGTTCCATTTTTGAATTCAGTCGTTTGTTTATTAATTAGTGTTTTGTTTTCACTACATTTGTTTGTTTTTCATCAATATGAACACAATAAAAATACGAGTAATTATGAAATACGAGTTCCATCGCGGTAGCAATCCCGCACAAACGGCTCGCAATATTAATGACGTGTACGGAATGCCGAGTGAACACTACAAACGAACGCACGACTCGTTATTGGTCTGAACGCTTCCAACATCGAAATTTTGGTCTTAAAAAATTAACCCCGTGGTCGCCCGAAAACTAAAATCAGTAACGACGCATTAAAGGCGATAGTGGAAGCTGACGATACTCAATCTTTGGCTGAGATAGCAGCAGCTTTCAACGTTAGCATCAAAACAATATTGGTCCATTTGCATCAAATTGCATCAATAGCATGGGTGCATATTTTGATTAATAGAAATGAAAAATATTTATAAAAATACAATACTATAACTTTCTATATATTAAACGACAATTTCATAGGTAAAGACTTAATATTTAGCAATTTCTTATCCCAAATTACCTTTAAACATGTAAGTTGTGTTCTCTTAATTTTTTTGTGATCACCAAAAATCTTTATTTTGAGACCCCATTTCGATTGATTTGGAAGATTTTTTTATAGACACACAAATTGGCGCCTGATATCCGCCATTTTAATTTTTAACTATAATGCGAGTATCATAGGCTATATATAGCTTATGACACTCGCGTAAATACGATACTAACGACATATGAATCATCAAAATCGGCCCACGCGTTTGGTTTCTAGATTGCCACAAAGGAAAAAACATACATATGTACATACATACATACATACAATTTTTATTTTTATTTATTTATTGGCCAATACATAACAAATACATTATAATTTGCAATTTAAGTACCACGAAAACCTCGCGGGTTTATCTGGGTACAGAGAGTCATTCAGTTTATTCGGTTTGTTTTTGTAAAAAATATTTTTTAAAAAGTGATTTGATTTTCGTGGTACTTTTATACATTTCTTGCAGTTCTCTGGGCAGTTCGTTAACATATTCAGGTATTAAGTAGTTATCAGTTCTCTTTCCATACTTATTGTTAGTTTTTGGTAAGTGGTATTTATGGTTTAAATCAAGTTGACGTAAGCCTAAAGGTCTAAGTTTTTCATTTAAGAAGGTTGTATTATTAATTTGGGTTAGAATAGAAAATTTAACTTTATCATATATGTTCATAACATTACAATGCCGAAATAGCTGATTATAGTTGTTCTTATAATTATTAAGTATGCGTTCAGGTACAATTGTTTTTAATAATCTTAACTGTAAATTGTAAATATTTTCCAAGTTTGATTTGCAGGATCTGCCGTAACTACTAACACCATAATCGATAACCGAGTCACCCAAGGCCACGTACAGGAGCCTTAGTGTCTGGTATGGTAATTTGGATACTTACTGGTAATACATAGACTGATAAACACATTACCCTCCTTTGCGTCGCGTTGTCGGGTAAAAAATATGTTTATTTGCATCTCTTACACTAGTATCATGTTGCATTTTATGTTTATTGTAGCTGCACCAAAATTGCTTAAAACATGCCTTATTAGATTACAATATTATGATCGGAGGGTGAACAAGAAAGACCAATTGTAGGCAATGTACCCCATAGAGCGGAAGCGAACAAGGGTGTAGTATAAAAAACTATTTATTTAAAAAAAACTGACTTCCAGGCACTAAAATGTAAAAAATAACTAAACGGAGGTTTTCATTTAGAATAGATATCTAATCAGATATTTTCGAATTTGTTCCCTTAGAAATTAAAGTTGCGATTTCAATGAGACAACATTTTTCATCCAAGTTTAAAGTACCTACTGTGTATTAATTTGTTATACAGAAATAGATCGGGACCTCATTCTAATACCTAATCAGATAATTTCGAAGTTGGTGCCAGTCTATACAAATCAAAGAACGTATACCGTTCGAATATCCGATTAGGCATCTTTAGTAAATGAAAGGTACCAATTAGTTATTTTTTACTTTTTAATATTTTTTTTAAGTCAGTTTTTTTAATAATATGTAGATTGAATCATAGCTATTGACTGGAATAATCGCTCATTGATTTGCACGGATAGTATGCTGTCAATTACAAAGGTTGTCAAAAATCAAAATTTTATGGCGAACGAAATTCAAGTTCCACTCTAGACTGTAATGCCATCTTGTGACCTTATGATATTATCATGTGCGAATCATTTTCAACATGATTATAACTTTTTAAATAAAACTATCTTTTCTCATCATCGGAGTGACTCCTCTCGAGACCATGATTGCTGTAAAGCATTCGAAACGTCAGGAACCAGAAATCAAAATAAATTCGCAAAATAAATCCGAAAAGATAGTTATTTAAAATGTCAAATATTCGCGTAAATCTAAAAAAGTATTATGATTATAACTTTCTAATACATTAAAAGAAAACATCTAGGAAACCTGGACCTGCATGTTTGAGAGAACATAACTAATTTTCGAAAGGCTTGTGAAGTCCGCCAAGAAACGGCGTTGTGGACTATGGCCCGATCCCCCTTGCTACGAGGGTGGCCCGTACCCAGTGGGAATTTTAAAAGGGCTAAATACATATCAATATATATATATAATATTGATATATTGATATGTTTTGAAGGGAGGCCCGTGCCCAGCAGTGGGACGTTAAAAAGGGCTGTATACATAAATACATATAAAAGTAAGTATGACAGTCTCACCGCGCACTCCCTGCACAATTGCCCTGTCTAGAAGCTTTCGTTAGGAAATTAGACGAATTAGTACCTAGACTATATTAATACGGTGAAGGAAAACAGCAAGAGCAGCATTTTATTAAACAAAAGTTTAGTTAAAATTTATAAATAGTTAATGCTTGTGCACCATATTTTTAAAATGTGCATAGAAATATATTTTGACGATACTCTCGCTTGTGGCCGTTACAGTGACCTCTATGTCGACGCGGGCGTACTCGTATGGAAACACGTTGGGAAACTTTTCCATGGGTGTTGTGAAGTTCATGAAGCGATACGTCCCCTAAAAAGTATGAGATAATATTAGTTTATAAAGAATATGTAATCAAAATTTACTTTGATTGATCGTTGCATCACTATAGTTCATTCGCGTTAAGAAAATAGTGAGTCATCGACGTCCACCGGCCTAGCCACGCCTCCGATCAACTAGGTTACATAAAATTATAGTCATATTTCACAATGACCAGTTGAAGGCAGACATAAATATATTATTAATGAACATAATTGTCTCAAATCAAAACAAAGTCATTATCATTATATGATGACTTTATTTGGATTTAAGATAATTAAGTTTATTAATTATCTCAAATCAAAACAAAGTCATTATCATTATATTGTGACTATATTTTGATTTAAGATAATTAAGTTGATTAATTATCTCAAATCAAAATAAAGTCATTATCATCTCGAATCAAGATTAGAGATAAGTAAGCTAATTATAGGCAGTGGTAGCCCAGTGTTAACGCGCTCGTTTGGAAAAACCGAGTGAAGCGAGTTCAAATCCCGTCTCGCACCTCTGATATTTTCATGTGCGAATCATTTCCAACATGATTACCACTTGTCTTAACGGTGAAGGAAAACATCGTGAGGAAACCTGCATGTCTTAGAGAACTTAGCAAGTTTTCGAAAGACATGTGAAGTCCGCCAACCCGCACTTGGCCAGCGTGGTGGACTTTGGCCTGATCCCCCTCGTATTGAAGGGAGGCCCGTGCCCAGCAGTGGGACGTTAAAAAGAGCTGACTACATACAAGCTAATTATCTTTATTTTTATCCATTAAACTTAATCTTTTGAAATATTGAATTTGAATTGAATTTTTACTCCCTCTTTGTATACCTACAACTTTACCTGCTGTTGCACTTGATGACGTTAAGAAAAACGCGAATGGGGAGTCATGGACTATAAAGCATTAAGCATTAAAGACTCGACATGGCTCAACTAAATCAAAGATCAATTTAGAAGCTCAAGTTCCATTTCAACAAGTTGATATTAAATATAATTTGTAAAAATTTATCGAAAATAATGTGTAGAATTGGTCGTTGCGGACAAAGAGTTTCGAGTGGCAGCCACGTACCAGGATACGAAGTGTAGGCCTCTCATAAGGTGGTTCGACAACTTCGTCACAGTCACTAGAACCCCTTAGATACGGATGGTCTAAGACCAGCGATCGTGGAAATCTTTGGGGGAGGCCTATGTCATAAGTGGTCGTCTTTCGGTCGAAACGATTGTGTAGAAGGTTTTGTGAACTTCATTATTAATTTTGTATAATAAGAAATGATGTTCTCCTGACCGATTCCGGCTACGGCGGCCAATCTCATTGACACTCAGGACCGACGGCTTTACGTGCACTCCGAGGCACGGGGGTGAAACACCGCCAACTTCCCAACTCCGGGCTGTAACTGAGGCTTACTATACAGAAAGACTCAATAACTAAACTTTGGCCCGACCCGGGACTCGAACCCAGGACCTCCAGGTGTGCAGCCGTACATGCTAGCCACTACACCACCGAGGCAGTTGATAATAATAATAATAGGAAATAATTAACTTGTTAGAATACTTACAGCCGCCATTGGACATTTAATTCCATAGGCGGCGATGCTGGCCCCAAGATATTTTTCATTTTTCAACAGATCGCAATATTTGTAGTGTAGTTCTATGAACGAGCGCCGGTACTCGTTGTGAAGGAATTCATTGAAGATTAAATTGATCTAAAACATGATTAAATGAAAAAAATATGCTGGTTATGACTTACACTAGATTTCTTTAGTGTACATTTAATTACTTTAATTTTTAATTTGTAGTATTTTACTTTTAATGGAAGAAATATATAATTATGTATTTTTTTAATAATTTGTAAATTAGCAGCAATTTGTTCGTGTAATCGGAGATTCAAATATTGAGGTTTACCTACATATTATTTATTTTTTAAAAAGGCTGTTAATTATTTTTATTGTTTAACTGCCTATAACTGTAATTTATTGGAGTGAGACTTAATAGAGAATGAATTCTTAATGCGTCTTCTCCATTCTACGTGAACGTGATATTGTCAAAGTAATCTGTGCTCAACTGGGACGGGTTGAAAGTATTTACAAGAAAGTTGAATTGAATTCTTAATGCTACTACAGTATATAATATCAGATGGTATTTTCGTTATATTGCCATCTTATTTCCCACAACCCACCGTAACATTGTTGTTCCACTCGTGTTTAAGGGTAGCCTCCGCATTCAGGCAGTACGGGCCCCTGCGACTGTAGCGCTTGATGACGAAGGTGTAGTTGTACAAGTATTTCTCATTCATATACACAACTTTCACGCGTTCCGGAATCACTTGGACACCCTAGAACATCGTGCTTTCTTATATTTACGCGAATATTTGATATCTATACTTATATATAATAAAATTCTAACTGAGTCGAATCTGTACATTAAATATTTTTTGTAAAGTCTTTATGAAATAGTCATTACTCATTATTATCGATAAGGAGACCGAATCTATAGTTTTTAGAATTTTGGTCAGTCTATCTGTCTGTCTGGGAACGCATCGCGAGAAACCACTGGACAGATTTACCTAGTATAGTAGTACCTAGTTTTAAATAAAGGTATCTTTTCGGTTTTTTCGTGGATTTATTTTTGGTTTTGATTTTTGGTTCCCAACGTTTCGAATACAATCAAATACATCTTTTACTTCTAGTTAATTTTATGTTCAATGTGATAATTTTATTTTATGGTAATCAAAATCATATCTATTCTTATATTTTATATAGATAGGTTCTCAACAATATCAATTATATATCAGTATCCCTTGGATTATATATTAAAGGCTTTATCAAGAATTAAATATGTATTTGGTCTTTGGCTATACTATATAGTTATACTTACGCATAGAACTGGTATAGTTACAACAACAGCAGTTAATATAATTATATATAATGTAGAATATTGCAAAAGTGTCATTACTTTTTATTTTTTATATATTTTTTAACCAAATACAGTACTAACTTCTTAAAATATACGATTCGATATGTATAGGTATAAAATAACTTTATTACCATCGACATTTGCCTAAATAATTCCCATTATTAAAAGTAATCTAAAAAGCTTAATGCTTTTTTAATGAATAGAATAACAGCAGATTGGAATGAGTACAAATAAATTACAGAGTTCAAGCGATCGAAATTATGATCAATTATTAAATCACAGTCCAATGTCAGATAGTTTGTAACCTAGTGTAATATTATAGTCTAAGATTCGAACTAGAAACGACCTTCACCTATCTGTTTAACAGATGAAAATTATTTTATATCAAATTTAATATATTAGAAAATATATGTCGTGTGGGTTTTCTAACAGACATATTACGAGTGCTATTGAATCGTCATTTTAATGTAAGCGTCAGTGTAGTCAGTCCGTGAGATAGCTAACACCGGCTCGGAAAGCAGTTCTGCTGAGAAGAACCGGCGAGAAACTCAACAGTTGCTCTTTTAAATATCGAAGTTACATTTATTTTAATAACATACGATTATACATAGTCCGCATATGAGTCAATATTACTCAATTCCACACATTTTCATCAATTTGCTCATTGCTTTGCTCAATAAAATATTTTTAATTTTATCTTTAAATTTTTGAAAAGGTAAATCTAGGACATTTTGTGCAAGCTTAATATATATGCGTATACTCAAGCCCATGAAGGATTTATTTAGCTTTTGGAGTCGAAATCTAGGCGTAATAAGCTTATTTTTATTCCTAGAGTTTATTGTGTGTCTATCACTGCTTTTTACATAATAATTTGAATTTTTATAAGTAATATATTACACAGTATATATTGCGACGCAATCGTAAGGATACCAATTTTTTTGAAAATATCTCGCAGGGAATCACGAGCTCTTAGATCATAAACAGTAGGTATAGTAAGTACTGTTCTTTTTTGAAGAATAAATATCGAATTAATTTCCGCGGCACTGTCCCAAAGTAGGTATTCCATAAGATAAAATACTATGAAAATAACTAAAATATACAGTCGGGCAGTATTAATATCCGTTAAGTTTTTAACTTTCCTAACTGCGTAGGTGGCGGAACCGAGTTTAGCTGCAAGTGTTGAGAGATGGGGGTAGGTTCACACTTTAGTTTGGAGTCTAGTGTTATACCTAAAAATACTGCTGATTCACTTATTTCCAGTGTTTCATTATCCATAATCAGGGTAAAATTCTGCTTTTTTATATTAGGCAATGTTAATTCGACACGTTTTGTTTTTTTTTTGCATTTAATACTAGGTTATTTAATTCAAAGCAACGAAGTAAATGCGACAATGCGTTGTTTACTTCGTCATAATTAGGTTTACTACGCTACTAGATGTTAGTACGTATATGTACAATGTACATATATGCAAAAATGGACAGGTGTTTTGGAACGGGTCCATAATTTTCTTACAATATTTTGCATTTATTTAAGAGCTAGCATTGCCCGCGGCTCCGCCCACGTTCAGATGACCAAAAACTAAATTCTTCGGTTTTACATATTAGTAAACTCTTACAGCGCAGTTTTAGTATTATTTCTCAGAAATGAGATATTTTCCTGCGGTAAAAAGTATCCTATATATGTTGACCCGGATAGCCAGCTATCATCACACCAAATTTCATCAAAATCTGTCCAGTGGTTTTCTCGTGATTCGGTAACAGACAGACAGACAAAAATTCTAAAAACTTTGGAGATTTGGACTCTGTATCGATAATAATGTCTGTTTCAATTAGATTTTCCAAAAAATATTTAATGTACAGATTCGACTTAGTTAGAATTTTATTATATGTATAGACATATTCACGGGCCTTTCTTCAATACGAGGGGGATCAGGCCATGTCTCTCGAGAACTTGCTAGGTTCTCTCTAACATACATGCCTGACACATCAGGATGTTTTCCTTCACCGTATCTTAATACTACAAAATTTTTGGTAAAGTAAGAAAGTTTAAAAAATTGTTTATTATTAAAAAAAATAAAGTTTTGACGTTATAGTATAGGATACCAGTATAAGACAACCTCACCGAGCTAGTTAATGGATGAAAAGTATTTTATATAAAATTAAATATGTCAATAAATATATTGCAAATAGGTTGCCTAAAAAATTTCAGTCCAGATTATAACTAATTAATCATTTAAAAATTATTATTTTTTAATTTTGAACTGGTTTGGTTAATAGACAAATTCCATACCAATCGAAAGTATGAAACCGAGAGAATATGCAAACGTTTGGATGATTATTTTTCTCCGTCACAACTCCTGGGTAGGCAGGTATAAATAGATAAATCGAAACTAGTAACTTGCATTGGTCTGTTTAGTGAGTTAAGTTAAAATAAAGATTATTTCATTACGAACGCGGTTGTATATGGTTGTCTGCGAAAAATCAGTCCTGAATTCCGGTTGTCAAGTTTTAAAAAGCGAAATATTGCTGCGAGTAAATACGTGCGACAGGGAGGTCCCAGCGAACCTTTCAAGGCGATAGAAGGACACAGCATTGCAGCTGTTGTAGTTCGTCCATTGAATGAAAGAAAGTACGCATGCTATTTGTCCATGAAAATGAAAAGGATAGCGATACACTCGTAAATGTTGTGGATCAGTTTGGAGTATATTAAAATAGAAAACATAGTATTAAAATAAAATAATGCTTTTTAAATATATCTTTTTATAAATAAATTATAAAAATATGTATATATTTTACGTTGTACCAGGCAAACAGGTAAGGGTAATTAATACCAACGATTTCGAATAATAATATATTCATGATTCTATAGTAATGAGTATAGTACAAGGAGCAAGTCCTCGTGCGTATACTATTGTGCAGTCTGGTTCTCGGAGCTGTCTAGTTAGAAAGGCGGGAGCAGTCTGAGAGCGCAGAATTTTATTATATTATGTATAGATCTACCTTAAGCCGAAAAAGGTAAACGCCTTCGCTCTTTTATTATATTCGTGCATTATAGAGTCAGAACTAATGAACAAGATATAATTGATAATTTTGAGAATAGAAAATCGCACAAAAAGAAATTGTTTCATAACTTCATTGGATTTCATCATCATCATCATCTATTCAGCTCTTTTTAACGTCCCACTACTGGACATAGGCCTCTCTTCAATACGTCATCATCAGCCGGATTATTATTAGATAATTGAATATGTTGCTTTTAAACTGTACGTAAGCATAACAAAAAATATTTAACTGTATGCGCACCGAATGTACATTATAGTGTAAGTAGTATTAAGGCATACCTTAATTAGTAGTGGGTACATGATTGAGCTTTAATAGCTCAGTAATATACGCAAACACTATTTCTTGTGCAATCTTAACTAAATCGTTGGATTGTAAAATTAACGTAGGAACTGACACTTGTAGAAGTGGGTAAGGGCGGCAAAATAAAGCATACTGGCGGCAAATGTGCAAATCCGCCACTGGTTGTACTCGTCAACCGTATAAAAGTAAATCACATAGGCATTGGTTACCCAAAGGTAACGCTTTCCCTTGGATAACCAAGCGGCTTCAATCTTGGGTTTCTGACCTACGGTATTATCATGTGCGAATCATTTTCAACATGACTATCGCTTGCTAATGCAGTGAAACTTGAAAGCAAACATCGAGGAAACCTTTATATGCATGTTTGAGAGAACATAACTAGTTTTCGAAAGGCATGTGAAGTCCATCAAGAACCAACATTGTGGACTATGGCCCCCCTTGTATAAGGGGCATCTAAATAATTATAAAAGTAAGTACGATAGTCTCACCCCGTACTCCCTGCACAACTGCCCTGTCTAGAAGCCTTCGTTAGATTAATATTAGACGAATTAGTTAGTGCCTAGACTATGTTAATACGGTGAAGGAAAACTACAAAAGTTTATTTAAAACAAAAGTTTATTTAAAATTTATAAATAGTTAATGCTTGTGCACCATATTTTTAAAATGAGCATAGAAATATATTTTGACAATACTCTCGCTTGTAGCAGTTACAGTGAACTCTACGTCGATGCGGGCGTTCTCGTATGGAAACACGTTGGGAAACTCATTTATGGGCGGTGTAAAGTTCATGAAGTAACGTTTCTCCTAAAAGTATGAGAAAATATAATTTTATAAAGAATACGTAAGATACTTTACTTTTTTTTATTTATTAGAAAGATACACCATTGACTTATCATAATGACACTATAATTATTGTAACATATACATGCAATTCGGTATGATTCGCCTTTACAGGTGTAGGTATAAAGTGTTTGTTAACAATAAATGTAAACTAAAAGGAGTATTAAAAACAATTACGTAGGTATACATAAAAAAACATTCAAGTACGAGTATATAAAAAAGAAAAAAAAACATATTAAAAATACAAAAATACTGCAACAATCATCATCATCTCCCTGCCCATTTCCCAATTACTTGGGGTCGGCGCAGTACATCTTCTGTACTGAGTGGACCTTAGAGCAACCCCGTAGATGGTTTGGTCTGCTTCGGCAGACCTGCCGTCGGGGCGTCGTAGTTGAATGCGTAAGCGATCCTGCGACGCCCTATTAAGACGGGGGAAGGTTTTGTTGGGTTTTAGTGAGTAGTATTGGCTTTTCCGGTGAGTCCCACACCTCGTGCGTAAATGCATTTCCCAACGTTAAAAAAAAGTACATCTTCTGTACTACTGATAGGATTTGGCAAAAGTTTTACGACCGGCCGCCTGCCTGACGTCAACCCTCCTTGGGAAATACTAAAATAATAAAATACTCAACAATATTAACTATAAATTATGACTAAAAATTTTTTAACAAATTTGCCATAATCATCACAACAAAAAATATCTATATCACCTTTAGATGAAATTACATTGTATGTTTCCATTAGTCTGTTCAAAGGAGCATATTTCCCTACATTGGTCCTGGAGTGATTCAGATAGAAGATATTGCTTATGGGGTATCTAGGAAAAGATCTTAG